CTGAGTGGAGACATTCGCACTTGAAGTCGAGAGCGAGTCACCGTGAGCATTCACTGGCTCGCATGCGGGCAGTATGCGCTCGTCGCTTGATCGTGCTCGTTTACGCGTCGTCCTCGACGCGTCTTGCGGCGGTGCGCGCTGCTGTGGTAATCGTGATTTCCAAAGTTACATATTCGTGATTACTCTCTCTCTCTCGCAGCTGTACATACAAATACCGTGCGAGAGAAAATGTCTGGAATGCATGCATAGTGAATGGTAGGTGCTGTCGAGTCGCACCCACCTACTGCACCTGTACCTGCTATTTGCACCATCACCGGACTGAATTTTAATGCCATTGCTCCACCACACCCGCGTCGCTCGACCATCTCGTCAACGTTTGCTCGCCTGCTCGCCTCGCGTCACGTCCGCTGGCTTGCCGCCATTTCGATCAGATCACATGGCTTCCAGCGAGGCATCCACCTCTGCCGCTGCGGTGACGGATGTAGAGACACAGGCTACCATCTTCAAGCGGCTGCATCCGCACGCCTATCTTGCCTCATTTCTCGATGCAGAGCCTTCGGTTCGCGAAGATGGACGCTCTTCGTTCGACTTCAGGTCCGTGGATATTGTCACAGGCAGCATCAGCACAGCCTTGGGAAGCTGCACAGTCCGTCTGGGTCAGACTACCATCGTAGCAGGTGTAACAGCGGAAATCGGCAGGATCGAGTCTCATACCTATGATGCAGAAAAGCGAAAAGATAGAGGTTGGATAGTGCCCTCGCTGGATCTCAGTCCCATTTGCAGTCCCAGGTTCAAATCGGGTCCTCCTTCAGAGGAAGCTCAGGTACTGACCAGCAGGATCATCAACCTGTTGGACTCTTCTAATCCTGTCGATCTGACGACGTTATCGATCCAAGAAGGGGAAGCATCTTGGTGCTTGTACGTCGATCTGGTCTGCTTGAGCTACGATGGAGGAGTCCTGGACGCTTGCATGCTCGCCATTGCGGGTGCGCTCTCGGATACCACGATACC